CTCGACGAATCTACCGTCCATATCCGTTCACGCGACTTCCATTAATCGATGACGTAAGCATTTTCATTTCCTCTCCCAAAACCAGAACCCTCCAGAACCGGGAACCGGCTCGGCCGCTCCGATCTCCACGCTATAATCCCGCACAAAAATTTTACTTATTGAGTCCGGACGTAGCTCAAGCCTTCATTTTTCTCAGGATCTGATCCAGAGAGTGAAAACAATGGCGGAAGCGAAGGGAGTGAAGCTGCTGGATATCTGCTCCAACCCTTTCGGACAGCAATGTAAGATAGCGTTGGCGGAGAAGGGGGTAGAGTATGAGTGCCTGGAACCGCACCTGTCGGACCCAAGTTGCTTCTCAAATCGAGCGCGGTGTTCAAGAGGATCCCTGCTTTCTTTCACGATGGGAAGCCTCTGCGTGAATCGCTTGTAATTGTTCAGTATATCGATGAGGTATGGCATGGCAAGTCGTCTATCTTGCCTTCAGACCCGTATGCAAGGGCGCGAGCTCGGTTCTGGGCTGATTTCGTCAATCAGCAGGTACTAAATTTGTGTTTTTGTTTTGTTCCTTCTGTTTCGATCGAATGCCATTTCAGTCTGGTTTACATAGTTTTGATCGAAAATCAATATATAGTTTCAATTTTCTCAAACTTCATTTTTTTTTCTTTTTTTGAACTCTGCAACTTCTTTTTAGATTCAAGAATAGTCGATTTTGATGTAATCTATATATAATTTTGATGTTATCTAGATATTTTAATTGGTTTCTTTGTTTCATTTGTGAAAAGAGAAATTTTCTAAGATATCTAGCTGAGAGGGATCCGTCGTTCAATTTTCATATTAAAATGTATGCGTCGCTATCAAAAGTGTGTGTGTGTGTGTGTGTGTGTGGCAAAAGAGTTCTTTATTTATTTGTTTCTGTAGAAGTAAAACTACTGAAAAATTGTTTGAATGCGATCAAAAAGTGGCAAGGTGAACTTATCAAGAATTTTCTTTATAAGAAGGATAAAAAAAAAATCAACTTTGCATATTATTTGGGATGAATGCTAGATTGACACTATTATTTAGTTTTCAAGTTCATCTACATCAAGCTAAATAAGCTTGTTCTATACAAAAATCTTATCTTTTATAACATTCTGCAGTCGGAATGCCAAACCGTTTATCAAATTTCTTCATACCTTCTTTTTGGGCAGTTCTCCGAATGTGGCACCATGCTGTGGAGCCAGAAAGGCAAGGCCTTGCAGGAAGCGAAGGAAGAATTCATCCAGATCTTGAAGGCACTTGAAGCCGAGCTCGGTGACAAGAAGTATTTCGGCGGCGATGCCTTCGGGCTGGTCGACATTGCTCTGGTTCCCTTCACGAGTTGGTTCTACAGCTACGAAACTCTCGCCGGATTCAGCGTAGAGCAGGAGAGTTCTAAACTTGTGGCGTGGGCGAAGCGCTGCTTGGAGCGAGAGAGCGTGGCAAAGAGTCTGCATGACCCGAAGAGCATCTACGAGTTTGTGGAATATCTTAGGAAGATGTATGGCGTGGAGTGAAGGTGAATGGGATGGGATTTGAATTTGTTACCGTTGGTGTTTTACTGTGGTGGTGGTTGTTATTCTCTTTTGGTAGCGGAGATTTGTGTCTAGTTCTGGTTTGAAATTAGTTAAAGGTTTTTTAATTTGGGTTTGGGTTATTAATAAACTGACAGTCAATGAAATTCCTTTTGAGTTATGAATAAAACATCAAAATAATTTTCTTGCTTTTTTTAAAAACTTTAATTGAGGCCTATATAAATTTAACCGAGCATTTTTATGGAAAAGAAGTAGGGTTGTAAACTAGTAGTACGGCTGTAAACCCTCGTGTTCGGCTCGTGTTCGAAACGGCTCGTTAACGGTGTGTTCGTGTTCGGCTCAAATAATATTTTTTGGCTTGAGTTCGGCTCGAAATTGGAGGAGATGACTCAGAAGAGGAAGAGAGCCCTAAGCTCTTGAAATATGAAGATAAACACAAACAACAAACCCTAATCTCTCGCCGCGGAAACCCTTTCACGATTTTGAGAGGAGAAGTATATGACTTGAAAGAGGAAGAGAGCTGAAACGGAACTTTTGAGAGCAGCAAATACAAATGACAAACCCTAAGCTCTCACGGTCAAACGCCTTTTGCGATTTTGCGAGAAAGGAGAAGACTCGAAAGAGGGAGAGGCAACTGAACCTGAGAACATTCAAGATGGGGGTTGGGGCTTAGGAGTTATGGTTTTTTTAGTTTTATATTTATATATTATATAATATTAATTATAAAACTTATATTATATAAATATATAATATTAATATAATTAATATTTATTAATAATTTGTTATATATTGTAATTTATAGGATTAATTTTTTACAAATTTTGATAATTTTTTTTATTTTAAAAAGTTTTAATTAATTATAATTTATAATATTTAATTTTATGAATATGTATTATCTATGTGTGTGTATTTTTTTTTTTCGAGCCAACTCGAGTCGAACACGAATGAACAAATGTTTGTTTGTGTTATGCTCATTAAGTTTAACAAACGAGCCGAACACGAGCTGTTCGCGAACAACGAGTCAAATTGACAGCACTAAAAAGAAGTATGCATGGACATTTCGACTGTCGGCCACCTGCCTGGATCACTTATCTATCCCTGCATGTCGCATTTGTCTTAACCTACAATGTGAGCCTCTCTCTTCCCGAATTCACGCAAATTTACTCCCAATCGATCCAATCTAGCGATATTTTTTATTATTACATGGTATTATTATATTTTTGTTATATACACCTATATATTTTAATTTCATTATACCTAATTTAATAAACAAATAGCTTTCAAAATTATTGCTCATTTATATATATATATATAAATGAGCAATAG